TTTTACGAAAAACCTACAAAGTTATATGAACCGCCGAGTGGAAGTATTTCAGACTTTCAAGTATGGTTTACTACAGATGGAAGAAAAAGAATAATTCCATTATACCATGCGTTTTACTTAGAACTTAGTTTCATATACAACTACTATCGAACGGTAAAAATATAATTTTTTAATACGGTTGAGGTGTTGGATTTGGTTGCCAACTAGACTGTGGTGCAGGTTCAGGCTGTTGTATAACAGGAGCTTGCTCTTCTGGTTCAGGGTCTTTAGGTATAATACCAACAAACTGACCTACTCTTTTACCAATATTTTTGACTCCGTTCCAAATTCCTTTTCCGACAGATTTTATTCCATTCCATATACCTCTTCCAACTCTTCTGAAGAAGTTTCCAATACTACTGAAGAAACCCATTTTACTAGTAGTAAAAATCTAATGTCCGCCTAGTCTCTTACGTTTCCTGTTGAGTTCCATAGCATTCTTTAACTGGAGCTCATACATTCTGTTTCTCCTCTGGTAGAAAACATATTCTGGGTCAACTCCTGTGTTCGCGTCATCTGCATAAAGTTGTTTATATCCCACTTCAGGGTTTGTATAAAACTCTTTCCATCTCATATTTGCATACCATGGTGGCAAACCTAACACAGCGTCATTTGACATGGCAGTTTGCATTTGTACATCTGTTGGCACTTGACCATAGTTTGCCATTGCAGTTTGTATTCTAACTTCATTTGGAATATTCTCTGGGTTTGGTTGTCCAGGTTGCTGTGCATTCGCTAAGTTCTGTGCGTCCATTTAATATTAGATAAAAATATCTCTTACGAGTACATATGCTGAACATTTGCAGGCATTGGTTCATCTTCATATTCTCTGTACTTTTCTGCCACGTCAAATAAATAAATGACACAATGGAAAAAACCTAAAACAAGTAGTCCTATTTCAAACCACATTTACTTACTAATAAAATTTCTTTATTGTGACACTTTCTCCAGTTTATAGGACCTCTCTCATATTCTATCTTGTCATATATAAACTCATAGTCATGTATGTCCTCTAACCATCTCATAACGGTTTCCAAACCACTTTTATCGGATGTAAAGTAAAAGCATGGATGGTTATGTATAACGTCTAAAGTTTCTAAAGAGTCTCTCAAAGTCCAGTCTACTTGGTATTGAAAATCCCATGTGTTATAGAACGGCGGGTCCACTATAAAGAAAACATTTTCCTTGTCTTTATATTTTTCATACAACTCTGTCCAATGACATCTCACAAACTCTATACCCTCAATATATTTTTCTATGTCCTCTTTGAAAACATTTGTATAGTTAAGATATAAAACTTTTGACATAAGTGTTTCAATGTCATGAACTCTTATAGAACCACTATATAATAGTCTAGCAGATATACTATCCCAGTCTATATATTCTGCTTTTTTCAAAACCTCTCTCACAATATTTTTCTTATCTAATGGTATACGTTCCATCTTACCTATAGGTATCTTTTCTTTTAACTCTTTCAATATTTTGTTAGTGTCTGGAATATGTTTGAGACGGTTCATATAGTTGTCGAAGTCATTGCATATAATCTTTGAGTCAGGAAATACAGTATGGCACAAATGAGATATATAGAAACTTCCACCGAACAAATCTACAAATGTTAGACCATTCGGTAGTTTCTTAAGTTCTCTCAATAGAATATCTTTACATCTACTCTTATTTCCAAAGAAGGGTAACGGTGGTTTTGTAAAATTCATTTATATATAATAATAAAAATGTTTTTACCCGAAAAGTGACAGAAAACCGACAAAACATGAAAACATATATAATTTGCGAAAAGTGACAGAAAAAGTGTCACCAGCTGGTCGGCTGGGGTTCGGTCCTCCTCTTGGGTCTTGGGCAAAATTTCTTATGGGCTAGAGGGCGCAACGCGCCTGGAAGCCCCACTTACCTGACCTGATATTGAGTGAATTATGCATTATAGAGATTAAAAATCTGATTTGTGAAAACATCTCATCAGTTTCTAGCTAATTCAAAAATCTTTACTATCTTATTCGATTAAAATGAAAAGGGAATAGTTTCATTATGCTTTAAATGACAGTCTTATAATATAATCATAGTTTTCGCTCAATATGCAGCATTTTTTTTTCGAAATCTATGGTCAATATCCTAAATACTGATTGCTTTGCATTCATATCTCTTACATTTTCTATACCCACATCACTATTCATTGCTATTCCTATCTTTTTCATTTTTGTTTGTTTCTCATAATTTCTCAAAAAACATGATAACTTGATATTTGTAAATATCATACTTTATAACGTAAATAAGAACTTGACCTATTAAGAAAAGCAGTAATGAAAAGAAAATCTGAAATTCATAAAAATTACAAGTTTCTGATGACAATTAGCTTAATTAAACCAGGTACAAGATTATATAATTGTATTTTCTATCCAATTATCCATATAATATCTTATCCAGAAAAAAAAACTTGATCAATACCAAATGATTTTTTAACTAGTAAATAAAGTATTTTCTTTACACACACATTGTATATCATAGTTTTTTTTTTGGTTTCGCAAAACATCCAAAAACAAATATGCTATAAAAGTGACAATTTTAGCAAAACGAAACCCTTATTCACATATACACATTATTAATTTTCCATCCTATCTATTGAAAATATTTCTATTTATGTGAACGTTTTTCCATCAAATCTCAATGTCACTTTTGCAATCCCGATACAATATTAAGTGTCACTTTTGCACGCATGAATATTTCAAATTTGATTTTATGGACTAAAGAATCGTGGGGAGTTTATACCTTCACACTATATAAATCGTAAATCCTCTTAGTATTGCCATTATTACATCTTGTTTTTTTTTGAATTTGGATGATCCAAAAAGATCACCCAAATTAGCAACCTTAAGTTATTGTAAATTCCAAAACCCCACAAAAAAAAAAAAAAAAAAAGGCATTGGGGCTTCCAGGGGCTGCGCCCCTTCTAGCCCCGAAGATGTTTTGTCACTTTTCTGTCACTTTTCAGGGAAAAAACATTTTTATTGTATATAAAATGAATTTTACAAAACCACCGTTACCCTTCTTTGGAAATAAGAGTAGATGTAAAGATATTCTATTGAGAGAACTTAAGAAACTACCGAATGGTCTAACATTTGTAGATTTGTTCGGTGGAAGTTTCTATATATCTCATTTGTGCCATACTGTATTTCCTGACTCAAAGATTATATGCAATGACTTCGACAACTATATGAACCGTCTCAAACATATTCCAGACACTAACAAAATATTGAAAGAGTTAAAAGAAAAGATACCTATAGGTAAGATGGAACGTATACCATTAGATAAGAAAAATACTGTCAGAGAGGTTTTGAAAAAAGCAGAGTATATTGACTGGGATAGTATATCTTCTAGACTATTATATAGTGGTGCTATAAGAGTTCATGACATTGAAACACTTATGTCAAAAGTTTTATATCTTAACTATACAAAGGTTTTCAAAAAGAACATAGAAAAATATACTGAGGGTATAGAGTTTGTGAGATGTCGTTGGACAGAGTTGTATGAAAAATATAAAGACAAGAAAAATGTTTTCTTTATAGTAGACCCGCCGTTCTATAACACATGGGATTTTCAATACCAAGTAGACTGGACTTTGAGAGACTCTTTAGAAACTTTAGACGTTTTACATAACCATCCATGCTTTTACTTTACATCCGATAAAAGTGGTTTGGAAACCGTTATGAGATGGTTAGAGGACATACATGACTATGAGTTTAGATACGATAAGATAGAATATGAGAGAGGTCCTATAAACCGGAGAAAGTGTCACAACAAAGAAATTTTATTGGTAAGTAAATGTGGTTTGAAATAGGACTACTTGTTTTAGGTTTTTTCCATTGTGTCATTTACTTATTTGACGTGGCAGAAAGATATAGAGAATATGAAGATGAACCAATGCCAGCAAATGTTCAGTATATGTACTCGTAAGAGATATTTTTATCTAATATTAAATGGACGCACAGAACTTAGCGAATGCACAGCAACCTGGACAACCAAACCCAGAGAATATTCCAAATGAAGTTAGAATACAAACTGCAATGGCAAACTATGGTCAAGTGCCAACAGATGTACAAATGCAAACTGCCATGTCAAATGACGCTGCGTTAGGTTTGCCACCATGGTATGCAAATATGAGATGGAAAGAGTTTTATACAAACCCTGAAGTGGGATATAAACAACTCTATGCAGATGACGCGAACACAGGAGTTGACCCAGAGTATGTTTTCTACCAGAGGAGAAATAGAATGTATGAGCTCCAGTTAAAGAATGCTATGGAACTCAACAGGAAACGTAAGAGACTAGGTGGACATTAGATTTTTACATATAGTAAAATGGGTTTCTTTGGAAGAATAGGAAACTTCTTTCGAAATGTTGGAAGAGGTATATGGAATGGAATAAAATCTGTCGGAAGAGGAATTTGGAACGGAGTCAAAAATATTGGTAAAAGAGTAGGTCAGTTCGTTGGTATTATACCTAAAGACCCTGAACCAGAAGAACAAGCTCCTGTTATACAACAGCCTGAACCTGCACCACAGTCTAGTTGGCAACCAAATCCAACACCTCAACCGTATTAAAATTATATTTTTACCGTTCGATAGTAGTTGTATATGAGACTAAGTTCTAAGTAAAACGCATGGTATAATGGAACTATTCTCTTTTCTTCCATCTGTTGTAAACCATACTTGAAAGTCTGAAATACTTCCACTCGGTGGTTCATATAGCTTTGTAGGTTTTTCGTAAAAGTCATTTGCCAAGCATAAAAAAGAGTTTTGGGCGCCAGAAAATGAAGCATGAACGATAATAGCATCTGAGTCGAAAACATTTTCATATGTTCCATTAGGGTTTTCGACTTCATAAAAGTTCGGGTGTACTGGATATTCTGCAGGCTGATTTAACATCCTCAAAATCTATACCATGCCAAGTTGTTATATTTTGTAGAAATATAAACGTCTTCTCCAAGGTCTTCTATTCTATTGATTTTAACAGTTGCATTTTTCCTGTCATATATAATATCGAGATGGTACTCTCCTTCGTCAATGTTAAACTGGTTTGCATATTCGAGATAGATATCGTTTATTTTTTCTTGAAAAGCTTGAAGAGTTGTTTCTAAGTTTACAAGCAAATTCACTTGTAAAAGTTTTCCCTGTTCAAATTTCTCATACGTACGTTTTTCTTTGTTATAGTATCGAACTTCAAAACCGACCGTAAATGGGAAACCATGTATGGCTTCTGAAATGAACTTCATTCTACGAAAGCCAATAGCTTTTGTGACGGATGGGTCTCTTAGCCATCTCAATGGGTAGTCAAAACGATAGCCTTCATGCTTTACGGTCTCTGTCTCAAACTTTTGACCGACATTCGTAAAAAGTTCATCTAATGGTTTAGTTGTAGCAACTCTTGAATTTTCTTTTTCTATTGAAAGCATATTTTATCTAGAATAAAAATGTCGAATGAAACAGCGTCTATGAGAGAAATACAACACAACCGACAACTCATTTTGCAAGCTCTAAATAAGAACACAACAAACTTTTCAAACTATTCTAAAATATCTGAGTCATTGAAAGAAGGAAACTTAAAACTGACATTAAACCCTTTAACAGACGAGTTTCTATTTCAAGACAACAAGAACCATACTGTTTGTATAAATCCAACAAAAAGAACTTTAAACGAGAAACCTATAGATGAACTTCTTTTGAAGGCAGATATTGACAACAAAGCTGACAAAGAGTATGTTGACGATGAGTTAGCATATGTGGCTAGTGCGTTAGTGAAGAAGGCAGATAAGGAATATGTGGATGAAAAAGACAATGAAATTATAGAAAGGGTTGAATGGTACCATGAACGGACATCGAAGATTTTAAAAGGTAAAGCCAATACAGGGTGGGTTTCAGGATGTTTAGACCTTAAAGCGGATAAGAACCATACACATACCATTGCAAATATTACAAACTTACAAGAAACCTTAAACAGTAAAAGTGACGTTGGACATACACATACCATTGCAAATATTACAAACTTACAAGAAACCTTAAACAGGAAAAGTGACGTTGGACATACACATACCTTCTTCTCAACTGTTGGTATAGAAAGTATTTTAGGAACGATTGAAGAAACTGGTGGGGGTGGATTATATTTTAAACCTCCTAACTTTCCAGAAGGTTTAACATCGGATAAAGACATTAGATGTAGAAATGTCTATGTCATGGAGGATGAAAAAAAAGTTAAATTCACTGCTCAAGATTTATATGATAAGAAAGCTGACAAAACAGAGCTTCAAACGTTAAAGACAGAAATACTTCAAACAGTATATCCTATAGGTTCTATTTACACGTCAATGAACTCAAAATAAGAGTAATTAGGTTATTTTGCCGACCAAATATATTTACAAGGCAAAATATCATATTACATGTCAACCTATTATCAGTATGTTTTGATAAAAAAAATTTTATCAAATATCATATTAAAATTAACATCTATATCTATATCAATATCTACACTATAAATTTTTTTATTCAATATCATAGATTTCAAAAATTTATTTCAATTTTAAATTAATTTATGGTTTTCATCAAAATTGTTTTTTATTAAAAAGCATGTTTCACAATTTTTACGGTTTCTTTCAAAAGTTATAAAATTTCAGATGAGTCGAAAGATCTACGATCTAATTGATATAAATTGGATTCAATCTGCAATTGAACAAATTAATCAAGGTCAAAAACTCAAAACAATACTTAGCAATGTCCAACTCACTGATGGACGCATTATACCATCAATATCTAAAAAAACATTCCACTTAGCAATTAAATCAAATGGAATTTCTGACACAAAATTTAAACCAGGGCGTAAACCAATCGAACCACCTGAGGAATTATTAGATACAGTAAATAAATTACATCAAAAAGTTAAAAAAATCGGAATATCAAGAGCATACGGAAGAATTATTACCGATAAGGATATGTTAATTCAAAGGAAAACCGAAAATGCTAATCATGATTTAGATGATTTACCAATTTCACAATTAAATACAAATCCAATAGGTTTTTCAAATTCTTCAGAATATCTTTCTGAGTATACAAATTCTGATTCTGATTCATCAGCAGAAAAACTTTTTTCTTCCAATTCTTCCGAAGAAGATCCACAAATTGAGTCGGAATTATCTGAAGATCCATATATCGTTCATACAGAAACTACTCAAAATTTGGAAAAATCAACCGATTATTTTAACAAAAAATTATTGGAAACAAACTTTTCAGAAAGAACTGTAAAGAAGTGTTTCAAAATTCTGAATATCGTTCAACCTGCCAAAAATTCAGTACCAAAAGGAAAAACAAAATACGAAGCAGTATATATAAACTTAATATGGCATGTCGATATTCATTTTTTTAAACATCGTCAGGGTGAATATCTTTATGCGGTTATTGACGATAAATCCCGAAAAATTTTAGCATGGGCTCACTTGGAAACAAAAGAAGCTGCGCAAACAAGTAGAGTAATTGACCAATGTTTCCAAAAATATGGGAAGCCCTTTGCTATATGGAGTGATAACGGAACAGAAAATTTTGGGTTTTTTGAAATTTATTACAAAATGCGAACGTTCAAAGTATTACAATTCTCCCACATTGCCCATATATGAATGGGAAAATTGAAAGGTTTTGGCAAAATGTGGAAATTGAAGACGCCACATGGAATGATATACAAAGTCTTATAGAAAATTACAATTCAAACCCACACACAAGTTTACCAAAAAACCCGACATTACATACATGGTACACACCTAACAAATTTTACGAAATTTCAGAAAAATATGATTCAAGTAAATTACCGCTTTGGATTGTAGATGGAGTTGTTAAAGATCTAAGAGAGTCAATAAGAAATTTCAACGCTTCAAGAAGGAATCAAAGAAATTGACGAAGTTCCAGAATTTTATTCAACAATTCTTAATCAATTAACAAAAACTATACCGAAACTTATCTTACCATCCAAATCAAATCACATTACATACGGAATAAACATTTAATCTTTTACCATTAAAATTATATTTATACGTTATTTAATTTTTTTACGTCTAAGTTGAATAGGATAATAGCCGAAGATATAAAGTAACTATAGTTTACAAGCTAAGGAACAAATCAGCATTGAAACTAAAAAATGCTGAAATATTATAATAAATTGAAGAAATACTGTGATAGAATACCTAGTTATACTAGATACTATTATAATATGAATTCATTTGTATTGAATATCGATTAAAATAAGATGGAACGTCAATTTGACAGACTCAAGTTTCGAATTAGAGACCAACTTTCATCAGCATAGTATATGTGCGCAAACTACTGCATAATGGTATGCTTATCTTTTCATTTTAAAAAATAACGTATTTGAATAATTTCGTAAAAAATTAGAATTACTCGATATTAAGCATATTGCTTTTCTATCATATATGCTTATATTCTACAATAGTGTTACCAAACATCGGGCAACATCATACGTATAATACAACTTTTTCGTACTTCTTTATCGAATTTAAATAGAACTAAGTTTTTATTTTAAATAAAAGAGAAATAATTCTAATTTATAATCTCATTATTAATTTATTCTCATTTTAATATTTCATCGATTTTTTATTATCGATATTCAATACAAATGAATTCATATTATAATAGTATCTAGTATAACTAGGTATTCTATCACAGTATTTCTTCAATTTATTATAATATTTCAGCATTTTTTAGTTTCAATGCTGATTTGTTCCTTAGCTTGTAAACTATAGTTACTTTATATCTTCGGCTATTATCCTATTCAACTTAGACGTAAAAAAATTAAATAACGTATAAATATAATTTTAATGGTAAAAGATTAAATGTTTATTCCGTATGTAATGTGATTTGATTTGGATGATAAGATAAGTTTCGGTATAGTTTTTGTTAATTGATTAAGAATTGTTGAATAAAATTCTGGAACTTCGTCAATTTCTTTGATTCCCTCTTCCTCGCAATACAACTCCATATCATTAACTTGTATTTAAAGGCTTCCATATACAAAACTATATATAATGTTTGAAAGTTAAATCCAATCTTTTTCTATTTCTAAAAAAATTGAGACCTAAACACGAGATAGCTTTCAGAAAATTTTCAGGGACATTTTTAATCATTTTTTTTATTTATTGTAATATCTTTGTTATTAAATTTGAATTGTTTAATATTTGAATGTAAAGAATTGAATAGTAATAATTTTAGTTTTAATACATAGCTAATTGCTAAGCAAAATAATTAATTTATTGTAATTTTGACATGTAAACTAAAGGGGAATTTAGCCGGCCAAATATGTGTTACTTTTTGACTTCACCTCACTTCCACCATTTCGTCTTATGACAGTATGTTGACGATGAGTTAGCATATGTGGCTAGTGCGTTAGTGAAGAAGGCAGATAAGGAATATGTGGATGAAAAAGACAATGAAATTATAGAAAGGGTTGAATGGTACCATGAACGGACATCGAAGATTTTAAAAGGTAAAGCCAATACAGGGTGGGTTTCAGGATGTTTAGACCTTAAAGCGGATAAGAACCATACACATACCATTGCAAATATTACAAACTTACAAGAAACCTTAAACAGTAAAAGTGACGTTGGACATACACATACCATTGCAAATATTACAAACTTACAAGAAACCTTAAACAGGAAAAGTGACGTTGGACATACACATACCTTCTTCTCAACTGTTGGTATAGAAAGTATTTTAGGAACGATTGAAGAAACTGGTGGGGGTGGATTATATTTTAAACCTCCTAACTTTCCAGAAGGTTTAACATCGGATAAAGACATTAGATGTAGAAATGTCTATGTCATGGAGGATGAAAAAAAGTTAAATTCACTGCTCAAGATTTATATGATAAGAAAGCTGACAAAACAGAGCTTCAAACGTTAAAGACAGAAATACTTCAAACACTATATCCTATAGGTTCTATTTACACGTCAATGAACTCTACCAAACCAGAAGTAGTACTTGGTTTTGGAACTTGGACTCAAATAGTCGACAGGTTTTTGTATTGTGCAAACTCTTCAAAGGAAACAGGTGGAAGTAAAACGATTTCAGGTGCAAATTTACCTGCGCACAGTCACTACATAGATTTAAGTACAACTAACGCAGGTTGGCATAGTCATAGATATTGGGATTGGTCATCAATGACAAAAGGTAAAGGATATGATGTTAAAAACAACGTTAAGTTTGCTATAGATTGTTACTGGAGTAACACTGAGGGAGGAGGAAACCATATACATCGCGTTCAGGGTATACGCAAACAACGGGACAAAGTAAAGACTACATGCCACCTTACATGACAGTTTACGCATGGTATAGAATTGCTTAGTCGTCATTTTCAACTTCTTTAGCATATTCGTCAGGAGTTGTCTTATATTTGTTAGGAACTGTCTTTGAAAGTATACCACCTTGAACCTTAACAAGTTTGAAACGAGGTCTGACAATAGTAGTTTTATCTTCTGCTTGCAGTGTGTACATTTTGCCATGTTTGCCTAAAACTTCATAATATTCTCTTGTATACTTTCTTCTATTTTTACGAACACGAACGTGAGTACCTGTCGAGTTCCCATTGTTGTCATAGTCAATAGTATTTTCATATGGGTCGCGTTTAGGTATTTCTATTTTACTTTGTCACCTTTCTTAAGTTTGAAGCCTGGCATTCTTTCTTGTTTGTCTCTTTTGACTAAACTATTAAATATATAGTCTTTCTCTAAGTCAGGGTTGTTTTTCATTTCTTCGGGGAGTGGTTCCCAAACCTTTTTGTTTACGGCTATTGTAAATATTTAAAACTTGTCTCATCTTTGCCATGGAGAAGTGTCTATACTTGTCGTCATATGACATTTCATTTGCTTCACCACCTTGTGGTTGGTTTAAGTCTCTTAACATTTTTATACAACCGTCAATGACACCAAGAGCAGAATGGTTTTGGTCGACAATGAAATATTGGTTTACATTTTTGAACGCAGATAGTTTTAATATCGTCTGATTTGAAAGAACTTTCATAGTCAGATGTCAGTTTTGTTGGATGGTATTTGTCAACGAATATTGTCAAAGCAGTTTTCACATCTAAAATATTTTTGGACTGTAATGGTATGGCTTCACAGTATCTTGTGTTTTGACCGACAAATATTAGCCAGTATGGTGGTCCATCTTCTCTATACCTCGGAATGTTTTCCAAGATATCCATAAACCAAGCATTTGGTGTTGAACTAAAGATTTTTACCATGAGTGCTTTCTTTGTTGCCTTAGAAACATAGGGGTCCTTGTTTGAATTCGTCATTTTTAACCCATAAGAAATGGGTTTATTTGGCGCAATAGCAGGAGTCGCATCTAGATTTTTGCCAGCAGTGGGAACACTAGCCAGAGGTGCATTGGAATTGGAAGGAAGATTTTGAGTACATTAGGTATACTGAAGAGAAAGCACAACCTATTATACAAACCGTACAGAAAGGTTGGGAGGTAGCACGAGATGCAGCAAATCTTATTCAAATCCTGAAACAAGAGGAAAAGTTCAAGGATGGATGGACAATGTAGGAAGACAAGCAGGAAACTACTATAACAAAGCAAATGACTACTATAACCAAGCAGGGCACTATATGGACCAAGGTGAAAGATTCTTTAACAGAGGATATAACCATGCACAACAGTGGGTAAACAACAACCAACCGCAACCACCTCAAACGTGGGGAATGTAAATTTTTTTACTGAGATGAAATGAACAATACAGCATTGAGACAAATGGGTTCAAGATGGATTTGTCGGCTTCCAGCAGTTACACCACCACGTGTTTGTAAAGTTTTTCCTATACCTCAGGAAGTTTTTAGACCGACTTAAAAAACCTAAACAACCAGTTGAAAAAAACCAAACTAAAATTTTTTACTGAGATGAAATGAACAATGCAGCTTTAGACAGAATAGGTCATGGAAGACCACCTTTTAAACCACGTGTTTGTCAAGTTTTTCATATACCTCAGGAAGTTTTAGACCGACTTAAAAAACCTAAACAACCAGTTGAAAACAAACCAAACTAAAATTTTTTACTGAGATGAAATGACCGAAGAAGTTGAAACGGTAGATTTGACACCACAAACAAAAAGTTCAGAACCATTGTCAAAACCTGTCAAAGAACTTACAGATGAAGAGAAAAATTCAATAATAGAAAGTGCCAGGTCTGGAAATACAAACTCTAACTACAAAGTCACTTTTCATAAAAATGGAACGGCTAGTATCTCAAAAAAGAAACAGACTCTCACAAATAAAATATTGAAGTCTGAAGGAGCTTTCGAGACAACAGATGGAAAAGTTTACTTCACTGACCAACAGTTCATTATAGAACATCTCATTGACTTAGAGTCGAAATATTCTAAACTTTACAACAAACACAAAAAGTTGAAAGGAAAACAGAAACAAATGGCATATGACATTTATGAAGATGTTGACGACACAACTATTCCAGCAAGTGAGGTAAAGTCAGAGGAACCGAAAAGTGACGAAAAACCAATAGAAGAAGGGAAGCCAAAAACTGAAGAAAAACCAAAACCAAAGTTTAGTATTGAAACTAAACCAAGTCAACCTTCATTAGCTGGTATGGGTTGGCGTCAAAGACTTATGGCAGCAGGTGGTTATGTAAAGTAAAGAAAAAACATTTTTTTATTTTTATAAAAATGCCCCCATATAGAATGGATAGAAAGTCTGCTAGAATAAAAGCAGAGTTAGAAAGATATGGTTGGAGAGTTTCAAAGAAGTTTAAATATAGGAAGGGAAGACCCATAAAAGTCTATGACAAACTGTCGGGTCTTCGCTATGAAATGGACCTAGAAACAGCACGCGCAAATTATCCAAACAGATTAGAGAGGTTAGAAGAAGAGCGTCTTATGGACATGCCTTTCGATGTTAATGAACCTCAAGTTGAAGGACACGACGGCTTTGCCAGGTTCTACTGGAAACATGACGAACAATTGCATCCTTTGAGAAGGAAAAAAGGAAAAGGTGAAGACGCACATGCTCCCATGGAAAGAACAAGATATGCATATGAGAAGTATCGCGAAGTTAGAAGTAAAATTACTTCTGGTCGAACCTTTACAGTAAACTTTGACGAAGGAAAGAACAAAGAAGGCTTCATGGGAGTACTTGCTGCCATACAAGACGGAAATAAGAAAGGATACAATCTCAGATTAACCGTAACAGATTTAGATGGTCATATTTACTATGCACATGCAATGTCACAACAGCGCACAACTTCTTGACGCTTTCAAGACTACAAAGAGAGAACAAATGTTTGACTCCGACTCAGACATTTTGAATGCAATTGAAGGAATTGCAAGCGTGAAGTTCGAATGGTACCAATCTAACCCTCAAGCAGTCAGACAACATGCTGGATACTTCCCGTTCAGAAATAAGTCTGACATTGACTTAACAAGGTATGGAATTTACAATTCAATTAAAACAATTGTCAATGAACCTTGTATTCTTACATGTCTCAGGAACTCTGGTCTTGTTACAGATGAGAAGATGAAGTATCTTGAGTCATGTGTGAAAACAAGGTACATTCTCAGAAGTCAATTGTCAAAAGTTGCACCGTTGGCAAATGTCAATATCCGAGTCAACATACCGACTGAGAAAGGTTCTTCACATGACGACTATGTTGTTGACTTCAAATTGCCATGGTTGAAGATTGTACTTGTCCACAACCACTTCATGTTGAACGAAAGTCTTACAAACCCATTGTTCGGAAAAGGCCAAGTGCAACATTGTCAGAAGCTGTTAACATTCTTCGAGAAAGGTTTGTTGGAACCAATTCCAGATGACAAGCTGACAGAAACTTTTGACCAAAAGACGAAACAAACTTTTCATTGTTGGTAAGACCAAAAGTTGTTCCAGACAAAGTTCTAGCACAAAAGAAGTACACAGTTCCAAAAGGAGTTGGATTGTTCGGATACCAACCTGAACCAGAAGAACTTCCAATGAGGTTGCAAGAACTTCAAGATGCTATAAACAAACTTCCATTGAGGCATCCAATCGACGTCAAATTGTATTGGAGAGCATCAGAGTTAGGTCAGAAGGTTTTATATGAAACAGGTTGCTTCGACGATGTTTATGAGATAACAGGAGAAGTTTCTCAAAAGATAAGAGACTCACTTGAATTTCCACAAACTGGACCCATTGGATGCGACAAGTTCGACTCATATGAAAAAATATACTATGTCGACCTTAACGCTGCGTACATGAGGTTTGTCCAATATATTCCGACTGGAATTCCAAACGAAGATGGTGAGTTCCCGGGAAGGAACTATACAGTTGGAAAGGTCATACAACAACTATATGATATTAGGAAAGCTTCAAACCCCAAACTTGCAATGACCACTCAAATTGCTTATGAATTCGACATGGGGATATTCCATTAAGAAACCTCACAAGATGAAGAGTAAACACTATTGAGAAGGTCGACAACTTTGTTGAAAGGTTTTCTCCTTTTGTTTTGAAATACGAGTTCACCGAAGGTCAAAATGGCTTAGTAACCACAGTAAAACCTATTGTCGAACATTGGTCTTTACCCTCAGTTCGCAAAGGCAGTCCTTGACAACTACAACAAATTCTTCTCCGATGTCAAATCGAAAATTGTGGTATACTATGAGAACATTGACGCACTCATGACGAACGAAGAAGGATACAACAAACTCATTGAAATGGGATGGTCGGTGAAAAGATGGGTCAATTCAAATTGGACAAAATTTTCACCGAAGTTCATGTCCTCTCCAAGCGTAAGTACTGGGGCATACTTGAAGACGGCACAGAAATAAAACATTGCATGAAATAAAAAATTTTTATTCGAATTTGAATTTAAATGTGGGGAATTCTTGGGAACGTGAAAGGCTTATTTACTTGAGGAACAGGTAAAGGTGGTGGCAACCAGTCCATTTTATATTCCTTCCTAGCTAATTTCCGTTTAATTTCATGGTCGCCCTCGGAGTCTTTGAATCGGACAGGTCGAGTTACACCATTCTTGGTCTCAAACTCATATATAACCTGTTTGTCTGTATTTTCGTCGACTATGGCACGAGACACGAACATTGACCAAACGGACAAAAAGTGTCATTTCGGATGGTCCCGCAGCCAATCGCATTCGAGCACTTCGAAGAAGCCTTACGTTCCAAGGGAGAGGGTGTCTGGTGCAAGGCAGAGGTCATGAGACTCTACGAGCAGTACATCCTCAATGCCTGGGAGGACAAATCGTCCTTGGAATGGCAATTCTACCAACTCCTCTGGGACGACCTCCTACGCAACTGGGATGACGAAAGAGTCCAATTCAAAGGTCAGGAACTACTTATCCAAATTATCCGTAATTTAAGCTACTTATCTAAATAAACACCTAAATTTACTCGGGGTTTCCCCCTAAAATAAAATTTTTTTACTCTTAGAACCACTCGAGGTTCTCCTTACGGTTGTTGAGCTTGTCACCGTCAATGTGTCTGACCTTCGTCTTCTTGTTTGGATTTGGAACCCATTGCATACCGACAAGCCTTCCCATGGAAATTGTACCGTAATTCCGAAGGGTAAGGCTCAAGTGTCCCAAGTTGTTGAGGACTGGGGTAAGAACCTTGCCGGTCTCCTTGTTGCGGATTTTGTATGGGTAGGGTTGGGAAATTTCGTAACCGTCATCCGCAACAAGGGTTGCCCAAACTTCCTTTTCTTCGTGTTTCTCTTCTTCTTCCTCTTCTCTTCTTCTTCTCTTCTTCTTCCTCGAAAATTCCTTCTTCAATTTGGTACTCACGAAGTACGGTGTTGCATGTTCTGTCCTTTCCGAGTACCTTCCAGATGGCGTCTATCTCTTCGAAGAAACGGTAGATGAGTCTGGCAAGGTCTCGGTTTCTCTCTCGTAATTGCGCAAGGTTTCCGCGAAATCGTTCAGGCATTTCTCATTGGAAGCTTGGTTCATGAGGAACTCACCTTTGAGATTGGTCATCTCTGTCATAAGACTACTTTGGATAGTCTTAATGGTGTTTGTCAGATGAGCGTTCAATTGGACAATTTGAAGTTGAACTGGGCGCTTGTCTGGCAACCTTGAAAGGACATCTGCCATTGAGTTTGGCTTCGGTGCTTGTTCGGACATCGAAAAAATGAAGTGGTTTGAGAATGACGGTTTTACTTCAAAAAGCTTGTTATGACGGTTAAGTCATACAACAAGTTTAAAATAATATCTTGTTCTTCTTCTGAACGTTTGTTGTCTCTTCCGATAAAAGTTTCGAACATGAGAACCAAAAAACGTTTTTTGAGATTGCGGAAGAGTTCAGGCAAACGTTCATATTCTGGATATGTTGGGAGCAGTTCGAAACATCTGAGCTGACTTTCGGACAAAATTGGGACAATGTCAACAAATTCATCTTTGGTCGGACTGCTTGAAGGTAAGTCCCTTACATGTAAGTAGCTCTGGTAAAGTCTTCTCATTTCTGCTAACTTTTGGAGTATAGCTTCGTAGTTTAGAAGTTTTAATTTTAATTGTCTTATTCCACTCTTGACATCTAAACGGTAACTATCCATGAGGTCAAGAGTAGCTTTGGTAGCTTTAAGTGGAGCTATCTGTTCCTTGACTTCTGCAATTTTGGTTGCAATTGTGATTTGAGCTCCTTCAAGTTCGCCGTCTATGTCGTTCTCAACACCTTCAACCATAGCTTGAAACTCTTCATCGGTCCATTGAGTTTGGTGTGGGACGAATTTAACTTGCTTCATTCAAAAAAAGAAAAAAATGTTTTTACTCAAAGCGTGCCATGTATATGGCTATAAGAAACTTACCAGAAGGCTTCTTCTTCATATGCGTAAAAACATAAAAAAAGTGAAGTTAAAATGAGATGTTTAAAGAACTGGCTGAATGTCGCCTTCACAGGTTATGTAGAACGGCTGACCCGAGAAGTGAAGGAGAGACTGAATTGCCAATTTCATATGGGGTAGGGGGTTCTCCTTGTTTGGTATTTTTATCCAAGGACGTTTGTTTAGGAACTTAACAAGAGCTTCTCTTTTGGCGTCCTTTATGTCAACGTAGGCTGTCCCGACTGGTATTTGAATTGGAATTCCAGTCGAAGTCTCGAGCTGAAGTGTAGACCTTCCAGAAATAGAGATGAACTTGACCTTGGGCTTCATGACCTTGCGCAAGTAGTCTTTTATGCAGTCGTTAATTTCAATTAGGTAAATTGCCTCGTCAAATCCTTCTGGCATTCCGAGTCCTTCCATCCGACAGGAAAATATTTTCCCGACAAAGGGAAAAATTTTTCCAGTTGTCCGTCCGTAAACCATTCAAATTTTCGAAAATTGAGAACTTTTTGGTCGAACTTCAGAAAAAGTTTTTCCTTCCGACAGGACACAAAGTTTTTCCTTCCGACGGTTAAGCCACAAACGAATGTCCGACGTCCCACCAACCGAGTCCATTCCCAAACCAGAAGAACCTAAAGCACCAGCCCCTGCACCTCAGTTCCAGCAAGTACCTCAGTTCCAGCAAGTACCTCCGTATTACTACCAATTTCCACCTCAAGGTTACTACCCACCACAAGGCTTCCCGAACTACCCTCCTCAACCTATGCCTTACTTCCCCAACCCTTGGATGTTCCAGCAAGCTCCACCCCAGCAATTCCAATCTCAATCCCAATCGAAGAGAGACCAAGACTTCGAAGAAGGTCTGAACCGCTTACGCAAAGAGTATGCTACAGCTCCAATGGAAGACGACAGGCTTTCAGTCTCTTCCCTCAAATCGACCGATTCGACTCGTACCACAGATTCGGTCAAAGACAGAGACGACTACCTCAAGCAGTCTGAGAGACTCTTCATCTTACAGCCATTTACAGTTGGAGCTCTCAAGAACATGCGCAATTACGAAGGTCAGACACCAGCTGGAGACCGCAAAACAGACATACTCGCAAGAGCCGTCCAGCTCGTCAAGACAAAGACTGAGATAGTCGACTTCATTCTTGCAGCTTGCCCATACAAGTAAAAAAATAAACAATTACGAGTTAAACTTTTTATTCTTTCTTTTCTGAGTTGTTTAGAGCTGGTTTCTCTTGTAGGAACCTTTCGTACTCTTCCACGGTCATGTAATTGCGAATTTGGTACGCAATTCCAGGTTCGTTGTTTTTGAACCTTACGTATGTAACGCTTCCATCCTCCTCAGGGAAGTAAGCTGCTAACATC